CAAACATCAAACCTTTTTTTACTCTCAAAATATTTAACGAATCTTTCATAGTATACTTGCAATGTTAGGATTGCAAGTTAAAGCAGACCTCTTTTAGTCCATAATATATATAGTCTGATGTGCAGCGATATAACTTAAGTTATAATAGTTTTAAAGTTTTAGCTATCGGAAAATTTGAGACTAGCATATGGCGAAATATGCATTTGTCAATCGCGGTGTTGAAAGCTGTTTTTTAAGATTAATTAAAAAACAGCTTTCAATACTATAACTCGGTGAACATAGCAACACTATAACACTACATAACATATACTGGGCACTTAGAAATCTCACCATTATTAAGCCTTCGAATTGCAAACCCTCTGTATAAATTAATATTGGCTCATTTGACTTCAGATAAATTACGTGACAAAGCCAAATTAATCAAGAAATTAGAAAAGTAAAACTTTTGTATAAATAATATATTATATTGACCTAAATACAAACGATTTCCTTTAAAAATATTAAAAAGTTTTTATTTCATAATATACCTAATTTTATTGCATTGGAATGTTACACCATATGACAACAATCCACCTAGGAACCCATAAGGTCTTTATGCTAGATGGAACCAATCCACTCAACATTCCTCCAACCAACATTCCGTAGTAGGCCTGCGTATAGGACCCAAAGCGAATTGATGGTGCTAAAGTACAGGTTTTCTTAATGTATTAAACTAATCCCTCATTCCCTACTGGGTCCACGTGTTGGGCCCACGCATATTGGTGGTGCTAAACTGCAGGTATTCTTAATGCATGAAACTAATCCACACAGCTTTCCGTACTAGGCTCGCTTGTCCCCTACAAGTCCAGATTGGTGGTGCTAAAGAACAAGTGTACTTAATGGATGAAACCATCTACCCAGTAATACATACCGGGCCTATATAGGGCATAGTCATACTAAATCGGCCTGCCAACTAAAAAATAATTTACCACCTATCCGATTACCGGCGCTTAACCTCCGCAGATGCAGATCAAACGCGCTAACTACTACACCGTCGAGCTTTTCACCTGTTGCTATAGACGGGATAGATTCATTTTTTTATCAAATTGAATATTATATACATTATAATAATATTTTCACATTGAGTATCTGTGCATCGCACAACTGATATCGCTCCTAGTGTGCAATTTCATGAATAACTTGCGATAAAAAATCGATGACGTTTCACATTGTCAAAATTAAATTTAAACTCTTGAAATCACATTAGAATTTTAGATTATAATTTGATGCTTCTCGTTGCAGGCGGTAAATGAAGTTAACACAGGGACCAATTGGATTCAGAGGCAGTTCTCGAGGTTTTCCCGAAATCTACGTTGTCGAATCAGTGGCGAAGGAAGAGCGAAGCCCCCAGACTGGTTCCTGGACAAATTCGCCGCACAGACATTCACGGATCCTGAAGAGCCCTTGTACCAAGCAAAGCGATCTAAACTTCTTTGTGGTTTGAAGCTAGCATTCGATCCCACATTACCAGCCCATTATCATGTGAGTTTTTGACTTCTTTTTTATGATTATTTAGTTAAGATTTGCTATAGGCTACTGAGAGACACTTAACAATCCAGTTATCCAGTTGTTCATATTTATGTATTTCATTATGTTCAATTCTAAAATAACATTTTAGAATTAAACATAATGAAAAAGATTAACCAACGATTTTCGTATGACAATGTTTAATTTGGTTGAATTCTTATTAAATAAATAAATAAAATAAAAATGTTCTTTATGAACATTATTTCCATCATTTACAACCTTGAAATTATTAGCTGATAATGTTAGATATATTATAATAACAAAAAACATTTGGAAGGTTTGTCAACTCTTTTACTAGACCACACATCTATTAGACTTTTCCTCAGTTCCTTTTTCCATAAGTTAATATAAAAATAGTCAATATAAAAAAAAAACTATTGTTAAATACACTTTTTATTTCTGAATCTCAAAAATAACGTTAAGCTTTTCAATCAACAGCATTGCACATAAAAAAAAAATCCTTTAAGTATAGAAGTGATTCTCAGCTCAGACTTTTTTACTGTAGCTGTATCATTTGTACCTATTTAAGCAACTTCTATAAAGACATCTTTTATATTTTCTATCTTCAAGGTTGGGAGGTTAAAAAGAAATAAACGTGAATATGTTTCATTGTAACGAATACAATATAAAATTTTATGCATTGGCTACAAATTTATCCTGTATGTATCATACACAGAAACCACACTTAAAAAAGTAATTATAAATACAGATTTTTCCAAAATTTGTCATAGTGAAAATTCGAGTGTGGTCACATTTTATTCAGAAATTTATCGTGTCGTGAATTCTTATAGCGCTCTGCCCACAATCCATAAATCTAATGGAAGTAAGTCCCTCTCGTAGTTTGTTGACAAACTGATCTATCATCAGTGACAGCTTTTGTAAAAGACGTTTTTATTACCATAATCGTCTTTCAAACTTAAGTTAGTCTCTACTCAAACAATTTGTCGTTTAGATAATAACAAAAAATTTTTCAATACAGAAATGAAAATGAAAGAAAAACGTTAATACATTTTTCTTCTGATAAATATATTATTCTGGTATAAGCTTCATTTCATGCCACGGAAGTTGTAAAAATCGATTAAAGGACTGTTGACCTTATTGTGGTCATTATGGTTATCAATGTCACAATTTTATGCGAATATTGACACAGTCTAGTGAACATTTTATTGATGGTATGATATATAACTGACCGATGACGCAATAATAAGTGCGCTCAGTTGGGGAGTTAACAAAAATGTTCATGCTTCGCAAGACATGTGAGACCATTGGTCTCGAGAGGTTAACACCCATCAATCCGCACTTGATGTGTTATGTGTGGTCATGTTTCAATACAACCCAATGCACTCATATAGTGGTGATGGACGATAGACACTGGCTATCAGCGTTTATAAAAAGTTTTTATATGTGATGTTTATACATCTTTTTAAATTTGCATTTTTACCATTCTGTTCTTTTTTAATATATGTCATATTGTAAATAAACAAATCATTCAATAAATAATTATGAAACCTAGTGCGTGTCTTCCATAGTGATGATGATAATAATTATGGAATCTTACACTATAAACATACATCTTATATCGATAAAGTCTTTTTGCATAATTTAATTCCCTAATATACTTTGGCATATTTGTATTTGACATAATAACACTTCGATAATTTCTTTTTGGCATGTAAGCATTTATTTAGGCCATTTTTTTTACGTAACTTCAATCCGAATAACCACAACCTAACCTAGGTTAAAAGCTAACCCAACTAGTGAGAAGGCACACGTTATATACACGTTTTAGAAATGCGTGCTTATTCTTTATTTTTTAATTATCGTCAAAACTTACATACATATTGTTTTGCTTGCGTGTGATACATTACAATCGTGTAGTCCATATAAATATATAACAATAAATAGTCGTTATTAATTACAGAAGCATATTATTCTGTTATTTTTTTAATAAGTATTATGCGTAATTATGGTGTTATGTACAAATATAATTAGGATAAACAAAAGTATACCAAATTATATTAGGCCTTAACAAAATAATTATATGCAAATAGATAAGCAACTGTTTAGATTAGTAGTTATTACATGCAATATTTTGTTTAACTTTGGTTTAACGGTAGTTATGTGAGTTCGATTATCACTACATAGTATAAAACAAAGTCGCTTTATTTATGTATGCTTAAATCTCTATATCCCTATGTATGCTTAAATCTTCAAAACTACACAACAGATTTTGATGCGGTTTTTTTTTTCATAGATAGGGTGACTCAAAAGGAAGGTTTTTATGTATGATACCACGCGGGCGAAGCCGCTGACGGAAAGCTAGTAATTAATTTAACAGAATCTAGGATATGTTTAAAAACCTTTTTGGTCATAGTTAATGAATGCATTAATTATTATATGTATAAATTAATTGTCAAACAGTGGTTGGCAGTGGTGTCTCTTGCCATATTATACAATGTGGTATTCGTCATCGGACGGGCTGTATTTTGGGAGCTCGACAACCTCACATCTCTATGGTTCGCAATGGACTATTTGTGCGATACCATTTACCTTGTTGACACTGTCATACATGTTCATGAAGGTATGGCAATTTCCCTACGTAGTAACTTTTACATATTTTATGTGTACTTCTTTCAGAATAAGCTGCAATTTATTGTGATGTAATATAAGTTATATTTTCTATTTATAACAATATACGCTATGCGAATGCTAAGATTAAAATATTTTACTTAAAAAAATATATAAAATTCACTGAAGCGCTATGCGAAGCAAAAAAATATTTATATGATAGTATCTATTAATTTCAACTTTATAACAACTACAAGTGTTTATCAGAAATAATATAATTTAATTAAGCTATTGTAAAATAAAATACTATATAGACTAAAATAACAAGGCCGTGAATATGAAAACATCTGTAGATGGAAAAATTCCGTCTATACATTGTGCGAATGAAACAAAAAATTGACACTTGTACACAAACCGTAAAGCTCAAGCAATGTTAGATCATTAATGCCCTTTGAGTCATTGCAATCGATATCTCTCGCGACAGTGTAAGTTGTGACTATTGCTTTCGAGCGAGCTACACAAATCAACAATTTGACACCCACACGCAGAGCCACGCCTTGCGTCATCAAATTTAGCTAACGTGTGTATAAACATTTGACCATGCCTTGTAGCTTTTTCCGCACAAATATTGCACCGTGTCCGTTAGATCACTATCAGACTTTTGATAGATTGATCACCCTAAAAACATTTTGGTTTGTATGAACTAGGCTGCGATTGAGGGTAATCGGTACAGTCCCATACATTACTAGGTACAATTCTTTTTGTTATCTTTTTAAATATATTTCGTCATCTTTACAGGTTATTTGGAACAAGGGCTTATGGTCAAAGATTCCAAAATGCTAAGACGACATTATTTGAAGTCAGATTCGTGGAGGTACGACTTGATATCATTGATGCCTACTGATATAGCATACTACTGGTGGCGCCCTGGCTCTTGCGACTCCGTTAGTATTTACCTTATTATTACATTGGAAACCTAAGAACTAAAATTATCTCGAGTTGTCGAGTGCTAATGTCGAACGGTATTGATATTTGCATAGCACCACTTTAGCTACGATAATGAAAGTAAGATTTCCAATACAATGATTTGATATTCAAGTACTTGATCATATCATTTGAAGCACGTGCCTTAAAATAGCAACATACCAAGGAAATATTTCTTAGCTTTGTTTTGTCTACTGTAGTGTCAATATTGGTTGTTACAGAAACGTTTGCCGTGCCCTGTTATTGTCCGCCTCAATCGGTTATTTCGCTTACCCCGAATGTGGGAGTGGTTTGATCGTACTGAAACCGCAACAAGTTATCCAAACGCTTTCAGGATATGCAAGGTGATATAGCCTTCTTGTACCAGTTTAGCATTGTTATAACTCATTACTTGTTATTTTAATCATTTTTTATTTTCAGGTCGTAATGGCGATACTTGTTCTGATTCACTGGAATGCCTGCTTGTATTTTGCCATTAGTTCCGTTATAGGATTTGGTAGTGACAATTGGGTATACAATCTTACCGGTGCTCGTAATGAGACTCTGGCACATCAATATATTTACAGTTTTTATTGGTCCACTTTAACGTTAACTACAATAGGAGAAACACCGCAGCCAGAGATTGATGCTGAATATTTATTTGTAGTTGCAGATTTCTTAGCCGGAGTTCTTATATTTGCCACAATTGTGGGAAATATAGGTTCTATGATTTCTAATATGAATGTGGCCAGAGTCGAATTTCAAAATAAAATGGATGGTGTAAAACAATATATGGCATTTAGAAAAGTAAGTGGAGAACTAGAAGCAAGAGTTATAAGATGGTTTGCATATACTTGGGCTCAAAGCGGGGCTTTAGATGAAGAGAACGTTCTTTCTTCCCTCCCTGATAAGTTAAAAGCAGAAATTGCAATCAGAGTACATCTTGACACTTTAAGAAAAGTAAGAATATTCCAAGACTGTGAACCAGGACTTTTAGAAGCATTAGTACTTAAATTAAGGCTGCAAGTTTTTAGCCCTGGCGATTATATATGTAGAAAAGGAGACGTAGGTAAAGAAATGTATATTGTTAAAAGAGGTAGACTTCAGGTGGTTGCCGACGATGGCAAAACTGTTTTAGCAACACTAAGTGCTGGATCTGTCTTTGGAGAAGTCAGCGTTCTAGAAATTGCCGGCAATCGTACTGGCAATCGCCGAACAGCCAATGTAAGAGCTTTAGGATATTCAGATTTATTTTGTTTAGCAAAACGCGACTTGTGGGAAGCGTTAGCCGACTATCCCGATGCAAGAGCTACACTTACTGAACGTGGATGCCAGCTACTAAGAAAGGTGAAAATATAATTATATAATAAGACTTTATTCTGAACGAAAAAAAATTTTTAAGCTACACTAGATTTATTGTTTTTAATAGCGCAATCATCTAGATGAAAGGTTTTAGCATATTCTTTTTTCCCTGTATTCAAAATTAAGTTACATAATAACTTTGCTGTAGTGTTGTGTACACTTAAGTGTGTGAAATTTGTGTGAAACTTACAGTAAAGCATTTAAAGATAATTTTATAGTGGCGACTAGAAAACCACTTTCTGTAAAAACTATTTCTAAAAGTCACTGAAATAATTCTTCATTTTAGTATCAAGCTTATGGTGTTAGTCTACCATAAATTGTAGTTTTATTTTAACTACACCTGTTTTACAAGAGAAGTGGTACCTTTTTTCCTAAGCTTTCCTTAGTAATATTATGAATGAGAAAGTAACTATCCGAACTGTCGCATCAAAATTAAATAGATGTTCATTTATCTAAAAGATGTATCCTCCTCAGATAATTACTTTCTCATTCATAATATTACTAAGAATAGCTTAGGATAAAAGGTGCCACTTCTCTAGTAAAATATATGTAGTTAGACTACTTACTGGTAATATTACTTCCACGCAGATGAAGTTGCGGGCAAAAAATATTACTCATGCATTTCATTAATGACATGTTTTCGTAATACCATAATGATTTTTTATAGGATGGTTTATTAGACGAAAGTGTTTTTGAAAATGCACAAACTACACAGCAGAGCTTGGAAGAAACGGTACACAAACTTGAAAATACAGTCGAAATGTTGAACAATCGGTTACAAAGTCTCTTAAGCGATGTCGGTGAAGAACAAGAGCGGATTAAGCAAAGAATCAATAAAATTGAGGGCAGGTCAGTTCATATAAAATTTTAACGCAAAACACATATTTGCAATTAGCGACTGTCGTTTGTTATTTTTTTGTGCATGGCGATTTTCATATTCAATAGCAAAAGCTTGACAAACGCAATCGAAAATCTATGTTCTTTTTTTATATTTTAGAATGTTAGATATAGAAGATGACACCGACACAGATGACGTCACTTCAATGGAGGCATCAGAACTGCGGAGCGAAATCGCAAGAGTTTGCGATGCTTCTGGATATAGTGAGGTGCCCTTAAGTTCCACTCACGATAACAGTATGTTTTTAAGCAATCCTATACCAGTACGAGAAAGGGGTCAATCTCTATGTGTAGAAAGGACGACAGGTGGTTTACTTCAACTTGGACTAGAACCGCGCAGTAAATCATTACGATTGAAAAGAATCAATAAAGACATAATGAAATGAAATAACTAGATAGTGAAGAAAAAATGATGTTCTTATATAAACACACACGTTTACGGTTAGATATACTAATGGAATTTTATAGTTACAGTTATTTTTTCTACAAATTGTACGTTATTTTTTTATATGCCAATTTTACAAGTGTTTGATGACCAAGTTTTTAATAGAAATAAAATTTTAAAAATGTCATTTATTTAAGAGTTTAAATTACTTTAATATGGTGTTATATTCTTGCGTTAAAGTGGATTTTTAGTTTATAAAGCCGCAACCGTACATTTAATACGTTACGTTGCAACACGCCGAGCAGCTTTACATTAGACGTTTACAAATACATTTTGTTATTTAATATGAATGCTATAACTTATCCGTACTACGATTAACACGAATTGCTCAAAAAATACGATAAACGTCATAACTAAATGTAGGTAACATTTCCGTGCACCAGGTATAATTTTACATATATTAATTTGTAAGACAGATTAAATGTTGGACGTTCCAAATTACAATATGGTTATAATCAATAAAGTCATTGTTCACAGAATAATTTGAGAAAATATTATAGTTTCATGACAAGCCTATTCGTCCTTATCCTTATCCAATAAGGCATATTATTTTTTTCTAAATCACGGAGTCAAATATACTAATGAAACTCTAATTTGTAAAGCTGCTTCAATTCAATATACGTATTAATCGATTTGGATGCGACACAGTCACCGCCATAATATTCAAGACAAATATTTGTATATCAGTCACTCCGTATATCGTGTATCAATCGTTGAATTGGGCCCATCGAGATCTGCGCGAGCATATCACGATATGCCGCCATTTCTTGATTTGGCCAGGAAAATCACGATCGGCCATTTTGGGAAAAATTCAAGGGAAAAAAATTGGCAGATCGACGAGAACAGTATTTGTCGATTTGCCCAAATAATCACTTGGGAATATCGTGATATTACTAGACGCATTGTAGTATAGTTCTGCTTCACTGGTAGCGCTCAAAGAACACAGAAAGACTGTAACACTATCCGCTGTATATTTACGTATGAGAAAGATGGAGACGTCACAAGCAAACGAAAACTGTGATATTAAAAATAATAACAGTGAGTTAGTTACCTGCTACCAAAAGTGCTTTTGAAGTGAATTATGAGCTGATGCTCATAATTTCATAGTACACAGTTAGTCTCCCTACAAAATCAATTGGCCTGAGTATAATCGGGCAAATAATCAAACGTTCAGCATTGAACTATATGGCGGATGATAGTTGGTCAAATTGTGATATGCCCGGGCAGATCTCGACCGGTCCAATTCTCTTCATCAATATTGATGTAGAGAATTGAAATTTTATATTTTGTTCTAAAATATGCTGAAAAACTATGTTTATATTCACGGCTATGATATTGTAGCTTGAAATTTTTGCCCTACTTGTAAATAAGAAGGAGAAAACGTAAGTTATTTAGTTAAGTCTCAGTTCTTAAATTGAAATTATTGATAATTGAATGACGTTTAATCATTATATTTGTTAAAATGACACTTGTAACAATAATAATATTTCGTTGTTATTGTATGATTATAATATAACTGATTATGGACATTTTATATCCACATTGTTCACATAAATATTATTAAATTAGAAGACGTAACTCATCTCTTGACAGCCAAAACAAATGCATTAAAAATGAGATACAGTAACAAACTCCAAAATTGTACTATTAATAAACCTTGTTATATTTATGGCGTTGGCTGTTATGTTATAATATTGTCCTATTTGTGTTAAAATTTTATGAAGAATGTGTGTCAATAGAAATGGGCTTTAAGAATATTAAAAATGTTTTATACAAGAACTATGGGAATAAAGAAATCAGTATAATGATTTTTATATGGTTAGACTTTTAGATTTAGTGAAGCTAATAAATGTGTCAAAACGATGTTTATTCTTTATTTACCATTTATTTAACAAAATTCTAAAAAAAATAACGTCACGTAAAATAATTTTGTTACTCTCTTTTTATCCCTATACTGTCATCGTGTTGTCTTTTTTCCCCGAAGGTTGATCGGAATAAAATGCTATTAGCATTAAGTCCGACTTTTGTATGATTTTTAATTGGTCAATAAAGCTCAATAAACAAATGAGTAATATTAAAAATAGGAGGCTTTATTACTTCATTTTTGTTTCAAGTTGTGGTTTCTGAACAAAAAGGCTAGGTTACATCCAAATTTTTGTTTGATGTCGCTATGTTGGACTATGGCCACGAGCAATTCATAACCTAAAAAATGAATCACGATTCTCAGCAGTGAAAAAAAAGGGAATTAAATATATTATGTGCAACATTTATGAAAGCGCAAAAGGGAAAGGATTTATTGGACATGGTTATGAAATAACATAAATATTAAATAACAATAATAGTGATATTTCCTTTTAGACACGTACAAAAACTTAATCGACATGCTTTTCTAATTTTGCTTAAACTGTGAGCAAAGAAGAGTATTTTCCTCTGATTTGCTTCAGGTAAAATATTGTATACATATTAGTTTGCGTTAATATTACAACTAAAATTTTTAAGTACAATTACCCCATATCGATCGATGTAGTCAATCTATGAAATAATATATGAAACTAATATGACACGCTCACAGAAAAAAGTTGAAAAGTAGATAACTTTTCTAAATAAGAGGAAATAAAAATTGCAGTGTAGGAGTTAACAAAAGCATAACAGTCCACCACACTTACAGATATTACTCGTTGAGGTATGCAGTATGCACCTCGAAAAAGGCGCTTTGCTTTTCAAAAGAGTCGTATCGTACTCGAATATTTACATTAAAATTGTTATTGATACTAAATATAATCATATACTTGATACGAGATTGAGTACCTATATTTTATGGATAAGCTATTTTGGTAGGGCTTGGAAAGCATGTTCATAATGCAAAGTTATACTGTGATGATATCTAATTTACATATGTCTATTATTTAAAAATGTCATACTTATTAATTAATTTTATTTTTACGATATTTAAAGACTAATCATCAAAGTGAAAATTCCTCCATTGCTCTTTCAAACTGGTGAACTGTTGCTAAGTCATTTTTTGGCCAAATATGTTAAAAGATAAAATAAAAGTGTCATTAGTTTACAACAGCTTACCACAAAATTTTGAATACCCGCCGTATACTTTTAAGCTTAACTTTTCGAATTAAGTAGAAATTTACCATATCTGGTTACCCTGACAATCGATGTGACGCAATTCGGTAAGGTAAAATTCTTGTAGATAACTTTCGCAAGGGTCGGTCACGGGATGGGTGACCAAAAAATTATTATCTCGAGCTACTCCGTGCTTCGGAAGGCACGTCAAGCCATTGGTCCCGGCTGCATTTGCAGTCGTTAACACCCTCCAATCCGCATTGGGCCAGCATGGCCCATCCTCCTTAACCATCCATAAGGAAGGCCTGAGCCCCTGCAGTGGGGACGAAAAAGGGCTGGTGATGATGATGATGATGATGAAACCGTTTGTGAATTGTATTTTATTTATATAGAAAACAACAAACGTGTTTTTTTTTTACTTTTTAATCGATAATAGTACCGAACCCTTCGTCCGCGAGTCCTACTCGCACACGCCCGATTTTTTTCTTCTTAAAGTTAATATATTAACAGGCACATTCATAAATGATCACTTTTAAACTATCGCGCAGCATTATTACATACTTATATTAACGGGTATTAGATTCTGATAGCGTCTAATACCCGTTATTATAAGTACATTCATAAAAACACATACAGACAAAGGAAAATACGCAAAATAATATAGATTCATACTCTTGCATTTTATTTATCTACAATCAATAAAACTATTACTGTAATAATGACTTACCATTATTGTAGCTATTTTATGACAATCTACTGACTATTAAGTTATAATCATTCTAACGATTTACAACCAAAAATTAACAAAAAAGTAACACGAAACAACAAAATCTCGTAAAGAAAATCAACTCATTACAATTAGAAGACTTCAATGTGATTTATTAGAGTGCGAAATTCAGAATAAAATATCACACTAAACATTTAAATAAATACATGATTTACCTAAGAAATAATTTAGAAAAGGTAACCTAACACTTAAATGATTATGTAAAGACAACAGTAAAAAATACAATATATGGAACGATTTGCATTTTACAAC